AATTGCAAGTCACAAGTGGTTATAATTTTAAACTTTAGCTCGTGTGACGTCTGCTTACTATATACTATGTACCGTCGAATATAATTAATCAGACATGTACTTTGTTAGTAGGCATGCGAACATAGGTTGTCAGAGAGCTTTATATTATCTCACACAATATAGGAAATGATTTTATGGTATCGAAAATTGTGGTTCGATATTTTAGTTCTTCGAATTTATTTAATTTGCTTATCAATTGAATACAAACTTTATTCAATTAATAAAAATAAAAACAAAAATTTTGATAATTTTCCCACACGCAATCAGCTTTTAAATAAATATTTTTATTTTTCTTTGTATATACATAAATTTTTTTTTTTGTATATATATTTTTTTTTTCTATGTACATGAGTAATTCCTTAGTTTTGAAGAAAGTTCAATAATAAAAAGCTTAAGTTATTTCATATTTTATTCAAGGTCATTCCATATTTGACGTTTACCCAACAAAATAAAATGAAAAAAAAAAATTAATTGATTTAAATTTTAATTTGTTGAATTTTACATATAAATTAAATTAACAAAAAAAAAAAAAGATTTATAAGATTCGTTTTTCGAAATCATTAATATTCGAAATTTTGTGAATGGAGTAGGCGCAAAGGGGAATAACTTTATGAATTTTGAATGAAGATTTTGGGTACCAAAGAGCGTATGTGTTTTAACAGGTTTCAAAGCTTACAGTCTTGTAAGAATGAATTTATAGGTAAGTCTTTATTAAAATTTATTTGAATTACACATACATTTTTTAAAAATTAAACTGAGTTCATTGCTTAATATAATTTATTCACACCCAGTGTAAATAAATTGTACTTATTTTCACTGGGTGGCCCAATTGAACTGCAACTTTCCAGAACTTTGTATATTTTTAATATACTCATTATTTGAATTAGTCAAAAAAAAATTAATTTTTTTATTTATTTCGAATTGATTTTTTATTTATTTCGAATTGATTTCGAATTTATTTCGAATTGATTTCGAATTGATTTCGAATTGATTTTGAATTGATTTCTAATATATGACATATTTTCAACGCGAATTATGACTATAAAGCGGCGGCCAAGTAATTCTAATACTACACAAATGGGAATTTATTTGAATTGAACATATATTTTATAAAAATGAACTGAGTTAATTGCTTAATGATTCGTTAACATCTAGGGAATATAGTTGTACATATTTTCACAGGGTGACCCAATTGAACTGCAACTTTCCAGAACTTTGTATATTTTTAATATACTTATTATTTGAATTAGTCAGGAAAAAATAAATCTTTTTTTATATGTTTTGAATTTATTTCGTATTGATTTGGAATTTATTCTGAATTTATTTCGAATTGATTTTGAATTGATTTAGAATTGATTTAGAATTGATTTCAAATTGATTTCGAATTGAATTCTAATATATGATATGTTTTAACGTGAATTATGACTATAAAGCGGTCAACAAGTAATTCTAATACTACACAAATGTGAGCTTGAAAAATTTTTATTAATTCATAGAAAAACGGCCCATTAAAACAATTCAGATTTCTTTCAATTGAAACTTTAACTTCTATTTTTGCTGGGTGGATGAAAAGAGAATCTGATTTTTTTTTTGTTATAACTTGCGTTGATTTAAAATATAAACTATTTGTTTATACCATAGTAAGGTGTTTAAGAATTCTAGCTAAATATGGTTGACTGTTCGAATATAGCACTATTATATATAGTATAGTGTTTCAATTTTATCACGAACAGATTTTCAATAAAACATATGAGACACAAATATAAAATATGAACATATTGTTGCCACCAATTGAAAAGTGTTAGCAGTTTAAAATGAATAACAGTTCAATTGGGTCACTCTATATATATAAATAATATATAAATGTATAAATAATTATGGTCAAGAGAAAGAATGAAATTGCCCGGTTCATTCTAACCATATGTTACCACTTCTGTCCAGGTATTGTCATTGAACAATGTACTGAGGGCATGGCTTTGTAACCATTCTATGGTTATGAGCCCGTAGCAGTGATAAAACTCCAGAACCTGGAGTTTTCAGAACAAAGAAAAAGTGAAAAAGTATACAGAATGGTCGGACGAGAAGTTTCGAAAACTTTTCTGATTAAAAAAATTATAATAAAAAGAATTATGACGATTGTTATTGTTTTAGTTACTTTAATGTGTTTAGAAGTTTTTAAATATATTCTTTTGACAAAATAGATATATCATGAAAATATAGCTTAACAAAGAACAAAGAGAAATTGTTAATAGTATTAAGTAGGATATTATATATACTTTAATAAGGTGAAAGCTGTCTACAAAGTATATCACGATCTAAGTGAAAAAAAGTTTGTTGGATAAATTGTGACTACACGTAACAAAAAAGGAGTACGTGGGTAACCAAAATGAGTAATTTTTGTTTTAAAATTTTTTTAGTTTTAGTCAAAGAACAACAATATTTATGCTTTATTCCTTTTTTCTAAATTTTGAAGAGTTTTGCTAAAATAAAAGTATCAGAATAATATTCATACTATAGTAAATTCTATAGTATGATATTTCAAATGAAATATCGATTAAATAAGCTGAAAATTGCTCATATTTCAAGTGTAAACTATTCAGATTTCAGGAGAAATCTGTTTACATTGCAGATGAAATCTGGTTTTTTCGTATTAGAAATAAAAACCCTAGCTTACATAGTATACTAATAACACACTGGTACTATCAAAATCAAAACATTGCATCATATACTGGCCTATTCTAATTTTATATACTAATTGAAACATATTTCGCTTAAATTATTGTCAATATTTCGAAATGAACTAAGTATTTAGATAGACAAATGAGTTGTCTCTACATATCCAAGGAAATCTAAAAATTTTGTGATATTAGCAACATGGAAGCTATTAAATTTTGCGGTCCAAATAGATTAGAATTAAAATTGAACAATGGTTTTTAACTGAATATACTCTTGCTAACTATTTTATTTTACATTGGTTTTTATATATATATAGGCTATAGGTTCCTTTTTTTTGTTGAATATTTCAACATTTAATATTTTTTATTATACGATTAAAACTATATCTGCGTCATCGTCTTTATTCTATCGTCTATATTTATTTTATAAATAGGGCTAAAGAAAATCTCAGGAAATTATAGAAGTGAAAAATGTGCAATCGCTAGGTTATTGAGTCAATATTAAAAACTAAAATTATTCCTTACAATTTGTTCGATATAAATAATATAGGTCGTTTATTCGATTTTAATTTTAATGAACTAAAACCTAATCAACTTGATTAATTAATGAAACTACAATCATCTATATGATATTAGATTATCACTACTAATCTTAAGTTCTGTTTAGTATACAACTACCATCTATGTAATATCAGGTTATTTTTACTAGAAATATAATGTTCTATTAGGTTGTTCGGGAAGTAATTTAGTTTTTTTTGTGGAAATAAAAGATAATTTTCGTACAATAAAGAAATACTTTATTAAATTATATATTGGCCGTTCTGGTCCAACACCTTTTGCCATCTTTCTGGTAGTAGCATAATTCCACGCTCATAAAATTTTTGGTCTTTGCTGGCAAAAAAGTAATTACAATTACATTCTCTGTCGGGAAAAAACGAAATTACTTTCCGAACAATCTAATATATTCGTATTCTAATGTTCGATATTAGTATTTTAATATATTATATATTAGTATTCTAATATCATATATTAGTATTCTAATATGATATATTAGTATTCTAATATTTAATTCATATAAGTATATAACTACCGCATATTATATTTTAATATTCTAATATCATATCGAAGTATACTTATATCACATATTAGATAACTGGTGCAAGTACAAATAAAGAATAATACAAGTATTATTAACAATAGTTATATATGTATTGATTGAAGGTAGCTTACTTCACAGGACGATTATGGACTGCATGTGATATATTAAAAATTGTTTTCAAAAAAATATTGATATGCGATAAATAAACAAAACTAAATTTGAAAAAAAAAATTATTAAAATTAATGAAAAAAAAAAATGAATATTTTAAACAACCCTGTACTGTATATTTACGAAAACATTTATATATATAAACATGTCGTGAATTCAATTAAAGGATATTTAATAGAGTAAAATTAAGTATGTGACTTAAATTATTTAACTGAAGTATTTTTGAGGTATCACCGGCATTTGTCAAGGGGTTTTTTCGAGATAATTTTTTCGTTACGATTTTTCTAGACTATTCTATCCATTATACAATATCTTAGTATAAAGTGAAAATATTAAAAAAGAATGTTTCCACTTCCGAAACTATTTTCTTCGTTTTAGGACTAAGGAATTATTTACTAAATTCATACTCATTGTAGACTAAAATTCCGTAGAGATATTAATATCAGAAAAAGTTGAAAATATCCACTTATTTAATACTATGTTCGGAAAATAAATAAATAATAATGTTTCTAGTATAGCTAAAGTTTAGTGCGGGGCAGAGATAAGCCCCCCAGCCACAATAGAGTTGAAGTGTGCAAAAGGACTAACTCAAATCGCAACAACAACAACATATGGCTAAATTTTCTTAATTTCGTAAAAATGAAATTAAGTTAATTTCGAAAGTGTTCATAGTGCCTTAAATTAAGGAAATCATATGTTTTCGAATATTTTAACATTCGATTTAACACATCGAATGTTAAAAATTACATGCTCCAAACACCATTTGTATTTGGGAAATTTTAAAAGTTGATTATTATAACTATAAAGGATTGCATTCAGTAATTTTGTTAGCTTTGGTGGATTTCAGCTATGTGAATTATTATTTTTCACTCTATTTTAAATAAATAACAGTTACAGTTCTTTCTCTATATTCAAATTTTCTTTATAGTTTGTTTTTTCACATACTATATACTTAAAAATATATGTTTTAAGATCTTATTTTATAAGATTTTATTTTATAGTATTTTAGAAAACTCACTGTGATATCGGCTTGTATCCTTTGCATGCCCATAAACAATAGAGTGAATGTCCAGAAAACTGCCAAAGGGCGAATGTTAAAGAGTCTTGCCATTTCGAGAACACTGATGATGCTGCCACTTGTCAAATCGTGTATATAACATTCACTTAAACACACTTATTGTATTTGTATTTCTTAATTAAATTAATTAAATGTTAATTTATATTTTTAAAATTTTTGCCCTTAAAGAGTAAGGGCGTACAGTTTAATTTTGTGTTAAACCTAATATTGTTTTTGTATTTATTTCTGTTATATTCAGTTACGTTGGTATGTTTCTATAAAAATATAATAATAATTTTTTTTTTTTGTTTTTTGATTTTGAAGTGTCAAAAGAATTGACATTTAATGCAAAAGGTTCTTTAATTATTTCGTAAATTGTTTTTTTCTTTTAAAACAATTTTTTTATATTTCAAAATAAACAAATACTTTTGTATGTTAAAATAAAAATCTAGTGCTTCAGCTTAGTGTGCCTAACGCGTCCACGCAGCTGACCTACTTTAGCTGGACTGAGGTTTGAATATCAGAGCAATGCAAATACTGTTATGATTGCTGTAAAGGGGTTCGCTTTGTTGATCAATATTATATTTCATTTTTTTCACTTGTTGTTGTGATTTTATTTAATTGCTGTTGTTGTTGTGCTGTTGAGTTATTTTATTGAATCATATATACATATGTATGTGCACTACATTAAATACATGTATTAATTTCGCATTTCTTTAACAGAGACTAAGTTTTTGTTGTTGTTTTTGTTTTTGTTTTTTGCTTGCTATTTTTTTTAATTTTGTTTTTGTGCTGACTGTTGTTGCTGCACAAAATTATTTGAATTCATTTCGGAGGTTTTCGTTAGTTTTCGTTAGTTTTCGGCTAATGTTATTATGACTGTTGTTTATATTTTGTTTTAGTTGTAATGCTTAAACTAGCGTTACTTAACTGCTTAACTGATATGCGATTAGCTTCACTTACACTTGTTGTTCGTCTTGTTCGTGTTGCTGTTGTTGTTGTTGCTGTTATTATTGTTGTTGCTGTTATTATTGTTATTTCTGTTAAATTATAATTGTTGTTGCTCATTGCAGTAATTGACGTGCATTGCTTTTGTTTTCATTGCAAAAATTTTTTTAGCAATCAGCTGTGAGCGCACATGTGCTGTTAAACGTTTGTACACATTATTTGCCTTACACATTAAAACCGCTTTACATTCTGTTATTGTTGCTATTCATTGAATCATTCATTTATTCACGCGGGCTTTTTGTGTTTGATTTAAAAAAGTAAAAAAGAAGAAAAAACTATTTCAACATTTATTTAAAATTAAATTAAAAATTATAGTTTTTAAATGCAATCTAAAGTTGCACATAATGTTTTTTTTTTTCAAATTTTTTTAATTCGTATAATTATTTTTGTTTATTTTTGTCTTAACAAAAAAAAAACTACTAAATGATTAATAACTTATTTGTTGCGGTATTAGCATTGTTTAATTATTATTATTTTTTTTTTCATTTTTCGAAATGTGTTAATTTATAAACATTTTAAACTTTTACTCTTGCGGAACCGGCAAAATTTGTTCCATAAATAAATAAGCTAAATATAATTTTAGTTTTATTTTATATTTTAAAAAACATTTTTCGTTTTTTGTTTTTCAAATTTTAGCAAACTTTTTAAAATTATTTAAAATTTTTTCAAATAATATATTGAAGCGCATATATTTTTCATTTCAACACATTTCTTTCGCGACAAGTTTCAAATGCTGAACTATTTGGCGGCGTTGTTTAAGCGCAAATAGTCAAACAAAAACTAGCTTTGCTAAATGCTGTACGAGCTTTCGCATACCTGTTGCTGTGCTTTCGCCACTCACACTTTTCATACATATATATATGTGTGTGTGTGTATGTGTATGTGTAAAATCTTAAGTAAACTGTGTACAGCAGTTAAACGCAATTGTGTAGCGACTCAAATAAAACAAGAAAGCAAGAACAACAACAACATTGCTTATGGCAATGCAACAACAATTTAAGACAAGTTTATTTTTGTATTGTGATCATATCACGACTGTTGTTGTTGTTGCTGTTGCTGTTGCTGTTTGAGCTCAGTTTTGCTACCAAATTTGATGCTAAATAATGATTTAATGAACTTTTTAAATGATGGATAATTTAAATTGCTAACACTACAAACAACTTCAGAGCGAAGAAAGTGATATACTTGTCTATCACGCATTCAAAAACAAGAAAAAAAAAATAGCGTTTATTGCAAAGGCTGATGAGCTTCAAAAACATTTGATGATCATCAACTATACTTAGTTATCTATCAAGATTTGGCACTAAATAGTTTTTAAATGGGGTACGGCAGGTGTTGGTAACATAGTTATCTTGATGAAGAGGTCCCATGACAACAAGTGGTATCAGAATATGTCCATTACAGGTGTTAACTATGGCAAGCTATATTCTGATAATGCACTGGTGTTGATAGAAAAAAGGCCTGTTTTATGATGAAATCAAATGTAGTGTGACCGGTAAAGGTCATTAAGTTTTCTTAATGAAAAGGTTCCATGGTGAGTAGTCGTATCACAATGGATCTGTAGCATTTAAATAAATTAATCAATTGAACTGATTGCCACAGACTTAACCTAACTGAACCTACTAAGAAAAAGAGGAATGTAGTGGTATCACAATGGACCTATAGGTTCTAAGAGAATTGATTAATTGGACTAACTGTTATAGCCTTAACCTTATTAATCTATTTTAAGAAAAAATTAGAGGAATCTATTAATGGTCACATTTGCTTATTATTAATGAGTTATCATTTATAAGAAGCAAATATATTTTCGTGGTTAATTCTAGATATTTTAATGAGATTCTTAAAAATATATAAGAAGTGTTATAAATAGGTTCTTCTTATAATTTTTTTTGCTTAAGTGATTTCACCTAATATAGCAACTTCAGTGTCAAACTATTTGATCGTTAACCGGGATATCATTCATGATAATGAACAAAATTTTTTGATAATTTTTAAATTCAAAATCGTTTTTCTTTCACAAATAAGTTCTTTTGAACTCCTAGAAGAAGCATAGGTCCACTTTCCTTTCATAGGCAAATGCAATTTTCCTATTTTCCTAAAAGTAAGACTCGCATGGTGTTAAATCATTTGAATACTAGGGGCGGTTTAAATTGTCGATAGAGGTAAATACCAATAAATGGACACCCTGTAAATGCGTATCTTCAAAAAATTTTGTTTACTTTCGAACAAATCTTTTATAAGTTGGTCTTTTTTATACTATTACAGTAAATATTTTGAGTTTTTCTTAGATATTTATTGAAACTATATGAAGCTAAATTAAGATAGAGAGATGATCAATAGAGCGTTTCCATTTAAAGTAGAGCACTACGGATTTTAGATTTTTTGCAACCGTAGCCGTATAGGTATGGATAAGTTTGTAAAAGAAAAGTGCAATATATATAAACAGAAGTCAATATAGTGTGTTTTAATTATGATAGTAAAGCAATAATAAGTGAATACGTAATACATATATTTGTATTAGTGTTTTTTATTAACTACATAAAAATTAATATTAAAAATTGAATTTTAAGTAATTAATTAATATTAATTTAATATATCAATAATAGTCACACATGTAAAATTATTTTTAGTAATAAAAGGGGAAGAAACTGTCGCATTGTTTGGAATAGATATGAACAGTTTTTGCAGGAGTAGTCGAAGAATAATTATGTTAGTTTACGCAGAGATGGGGAGCATAATGTCTAGTCATTATAGATATGCGTTGATATAAACATTTATAAATAATTAGATAATTAATTGATTTGTCTATTTCAGGAAGGCAGAGAGGGAAGAACTTCATCAAAAAGATTTTTAAATCAGAACACCAAGTAGAAGAAAGTCCAAGTATGTTATGTATACTATAAATATTTAGTATATTATTAATTATATATATTATATTATTATTTAATAATGAATTTAAATATTTCTTTGTATAATTGGCATGCCATACTAATTCTGTTCAAAATTCTAAAAATTTTCATACTAAACTAAACGAATATAAAAATTTGTTAAGCAACTTTTGTGAGTCGAAAAAGATAAATTATATGTTAAAGAGTTTTTTGTTGTATTTAAATAATGAAAAATGCTATATTAATATATATATTTTGTGTATAATATTGTGTATATATTTATGAAGTCTCGAAGAAATTTTTTAATAGTTGATATTGTATTAGTTTCAATAAAAATAATTTAAAAGTTATGTAGCAAATGTCAGAATTAATCCACCTTCGATAGTGTAAACAATCAAGAATGAAAAAATAAGTTTCCTTAAATCCGTAGTGTGCACGTTACTTAAGTTCGACTTTATTGGTCAAATAAACTATCAACAGAAAAGCAAATGCATTTTATAATGCTAAGTTTTATTCTTCAATATTTTTTTTATACATATGATAATATTTTTATACAAATTAATTTTTTTATGTGTTATTAAATTAATTAGACATTTATAACGATTGACATTTTAATTTAACAAGTACTGCCAGGTACTTTAATTTTTTATTTATAATATGTTTACACTTCACAATTAACAGACTTTAATTAGCGATAATTGCACAAAAAAAAGTGTTTATAGTATAGCAGCTAAAAGAAATAATAGCAAAACAAAGTTAAATATTAATTATATATTTATAATGAGTAAATATTATATTTGCAACGCTATTAAAAATTATAATTTACTTTATATAAATTTAGGAAAAGATAATTTTTCTGATCAATTCGACTTTAAATTGAGTTAATCTTATCCGTCTGTTTGTTAGCATATTAATCCATAAACTTATCTGTCGTTTTGTGGGTAGTATTTTTTTCCACAAATACTTTTTGAGAATTTTTAATAAATTATATGTGAGAATAGAATGAGAATAGAGGAAGTAAAAGTATCTTTTTCTATAGCTGTCATATATATTAAATTAAATGATGATAGAATATTTTTAATAATTATTGTAATGTAGATTAATTGTATATGTGTATGTATGTACAGAGATACAGGTGTAATTAACTTTAATTTTTTTTTATAATAACTTGATTGAGCTGGTTTTGTTAAATAAATGAATCTGCACATTGAACGAAAATATTTTATGCGAACTTCGCGGTTTTGTTTTGAAACGCTGCCAGCGAACTTTGACCACATTTTGAAGTTGCTGTATAGCTCCAATGTCATGCTAAATTATTTACTGTTAACAATGTCAAGTTTAATTTTTTATAAACTATT